TCCTGTGCCAAGATGGCTCTTCGTCGCAGGTCCCGCCCTGACCCCCCGGCTTTCTGAGACCTAGGCTCATTCAGGCTGCTCATTGGCAAGTCCTCTGTCCAGGGAGCTTTGCTATAGGGGCCCGATGGACCAGTAAGGCTCAAAGCCTGCTCCAGCGAGCTCAGGGTGTCCACAGACTCTGTGTTGCGAACCTTCTCCAGCCTCCCAAGCCTTGGACCGTGTGTCCTTCCTCCAGTCCTAATCCTCTTTGTTCTCGACTGTGGTGGGTACCTCGAAGGACAACGTTTACTCATCTGTCACTGGACTAAACCACCGCCCACCGGCAGAGAAAGGGCCTGTCTCAACAGAGGAGACACCCTAACCCTAACCCTAACCCTAACCCTAACCCTAACCCTAACCCTAACCTTAACCCCTAACCCCTAACCCTAACCCTAACGGACTGCCCCCTGTCACCTGTCAGTCCTTGACCAGCCTGAACAAAGGCGAGCAGGAGTGGTCGTGACCACTGCAGCTTTTTTCTTTTTTCTAGAGAACCCAGGAACAGAACCAAGTGGGGCTCTTCAGTTGACTCTGGTGGGCAGTCACAGCTCAAACAAGGTAGCCGACCAAGAGCAAGAGAGATCCAATGTTGGTGCTTGGAGATGGAGTTTTTACCCTGGCGGCTGCTGCTGCTCCCGCCGCCGGTGGTGGTGGTGGTGGTGGTGGTGGTGGTGGTGGTGAGGTATGGAGGACTTGGAATGAGAAGGAGTGGGAAATGGATAGGAGCAGAGGCAGCCTGATCTCTGCTAGCAGGTCCTGGGACCATCTGCTGTGGTTCCTGCACGTTTATTTCTGAGTAGGGACCAGGATCACATCATACTAGGATCAAATGTGTGACTTAGAGAAACCTTGAGGTGAGACGGTTTTATTTCTTCCTAGGAGTCCTTAATGCCACACTGGTGGAAGTGGGGAGTGGTGGGGAGTTCATGGGCATAGGGGACAAGGGTTTGAGGTTTGGGTTTTGGGGTTTGTAAGCAGGGTGTGGTGAGAGAACTAGAGGCAGGAGTTGGAGCAGAGGACTAGCATGCGGGCTGCTTACTGGCTCTCTTATCCAGTGCGAGACAACCACCCACCTCCTCCCTCCATGTGCCCTCCCACACCACTTGTGAATCAAGACAATACCCTACATGTTCGAATAAAGACTCATCATCTTTTGACCAGGAAGCAAAAAAAAAAAAACTCAAATGGAAAAAAGAAAGCATATTTAACAAGTGGTGCTGGCATAACTGGATATCAACATGTAGAAGAATGAAGATAGACCTGTATCTATCACCATGCACAAAACGCAAGTCCAAATCGATTAAAGACCTCAACCTAAAGCTGGCAAAACTGAACCTTATAGAAGAGAAGCAGGAAGTACACTTGAACGCATTGGCACAGGGAACCACTTCCTAAATAGAACCCCAGCAGCACAGACACTGAGAGAAACAATAAATGGGACCTCCTTAAACTGAAAAGCTTCTGGAAAGCAAAGGACATGGTCAACGAGACAAAATGACAGCCTACAGAATGGGAAAAGATCTTCACTAATCCCACATCAGACAGAGGTCTGATCTCCAAAATATACAAAGGACACAAGATATTGGACACCAAACAACACATAATCCAATACAAAAAAAAGGAGTAAAGACCTAAGTAGAGAACTCTCAACAGAGGAATCTAAAATGGCTGAAAGACACTTAAGGAAATGTTCAACATCCTTAGTCATCAGAGAAATAAATGCAAATCAAAACAACTCTGAGATTCCATCTTACACCTGAAAGAATGGCTAAGATGAAAAGATCAAAAACACTGATGACAACTTATGCTGGAGAGGTTGTGGGGAAAAGTGAACACTTATGCATTGCTGGTGGGAGTGCAAGTTAGTACAGCCCTTTTGGATGTCAGTGTGAAATTTCTCCAAAAATTTGGTAACAACCTTCCACAAGTCCCAGTTTTACTACTTTGGGGTATATATCCAAAGGATGCTCAATCGTGCCACAAGACATGTGCTCAACCATGTTCAGAGCAGCTTTGTTTGTCATAGCCAGAACCTGGAAACAACCTAAATGCCCCTCGATTGAAGAATGGATAAGAAAAATGTGATACATTTACACAATGGAGTACACAGCAGAAAAAACAAACAAACAAACAAAACCCGACAGCTTGAATTTTGGAGGAAAATGGATGAAGCTAGAAAACGTTATTTTGAGTAGGGTAACCCAGACACAGAAAGACAATTATCACATGTACTCACTCATAGGTGGTTTTTAAACATAAAGCAAAGAGAGTCAACCTAAAATCCACAATCCCAGAGACCTTAAATAACAATGTGGACACTAAGAGAGATGTACATATGTCTAATCTATATGGGAAGTAGAAAGTAGAAAAAGACAAGATCCCCTGAGTAATATAGGAGAATGGGGACCTTGAGGGAGTGTTGAAGGTGGGAAGGGAGAGGCAGGGAGGGGAGCAGAGAAAAATGTAGAGCTCACTGAATATCAATTTCACAAAAGGAAAAAAAAAAAGATCAATCATCATTTCATGGAACATCTCCTGAATTGAGAGTCTCTCTTCCCAGATGAGTGCAGGGTTTTGTCAAGTTCTCCAGAAACAAGCAGCACAGTTGACCCTGTGCCAACGTGGCACACAAGCCGGTCGTTAATTGAACCATAACCATTCCTTTCTTGTTCATCCCCAGGGGCTCATTTTAATCCCGAAGGCACGGGATCGGCTCTGTCTCAGCAATACCCCACTCCTGGTACTGATTTCAGTCTGAGTGAGGCTTGGGATTGTTGCCAGCAAACATCACGACCAAAAGTAGCTTGGGTGGAGAAGTGTTGGTCTCTTAGGCTCCTAAGTCCCTCACAGAGGGCAGCCTGGGTAGGAAAGCAGAGACAGGAACTGATGCTGTAGGTATCTGTCGGTGGGGGAGTGCTCAGCCTGCTGCCCTAAACCTCAGGACCACCTGACCAAGAATGGCACGCCCCTGGTCACAACCCACCCGGCTCTGCCCCACACCCCAGCCACCATCCCTCCCCCCTGTGTGCTGTCTGTCCCACAGCAATCATTTGATCGTTCATCACAGGCACATGCTAGAGAGACCTTTTCTCCAAGCAGAGTCCCTCTTCCCAGCCAGAAGGGCCGAGGTGACCAGAAACCAGGGAGCACAGAGACGAGCATGGATCCTTGCCTTTGGCATGTGATGGCCTCATTTGGACACCTGCTAGTGTAGGCTAGCCTGGTGTCTTTTTCCCATGGCCGTCCCATGGGAGCCACACAACTGGCCCGGCAGCTTACCTGACAGACCCTTTCCAGATCCAGCTCGACATAGGTGTCTCTTTATTGGGAAGGCTTCAGGGCAGGACAGGGGAGATGTCGGGTGGGGAGAGGGCGTGTCTGTGCTCACCCAGTGTTAGAGACCGTGTGACTCCAACACAGATAACTATTTTTTCTCACTGGACTGGTACAGAGGCGCAAGGAATAACCAGACACTGCTTACACCATTATTACACAAAGGGCATCTCAGGCTTCTCCCTCCTGAAGATCTCCCTGCATTTATTATCCAGACAGCTTTTATACCAACACATAAATTGAGTGGGAAAATACACCAGCATTCTGTCACCTAGGCAGCCAGGTGAATGGCCTTTTGTCACGTTGGCATCTACCTGTCTGCTGAGTATGCTAGCTGTCAGGTAGGCTTGAATTAGCATCTCTATAAGGTATCCTCCAAATTACAAAGAAAGGAGCAAGAAACTTCCTGACTTTTGTTAGGCAGACACAGCTTGTCTGCTAAGTCACATGACCTCGGGTGGGCCTCTATGGCTTCAGCGCCTGGCAGCCACCATATAGAAATATGGGTCTACAATCCACTCTCTCTTATTAATTTTAATAACTCCTGTGCTTCTGCAACAGGACAGATGGATCATGCCTGACTTGGGCAAAGTCCTCTTCATTTATTCAAATTTTCACATCTTTCTAACAGGCATTCATATATGTGAGCCCCTGTCTTAGGCATTTGGGGAGAAGAAGCTTCAAACCCGTCGTTGACTGCTGATCTCTGTAAAGAAAAGAGATTAGTGGACAGAAATATACTTTTCAGGCCCTGTGTATCAGCCATATCTTTTTTCAGGATATATCATAATGCTTTATGAATTATTATGCTCCCAAAGTCTATAATCTCCTATTTTAAAGGAGAGTAGAATTGCCTGAGTTGAAAATGTTTCTTCCGCTGGTACAGAACATCACTTACCTCTCAGCATTCTCAGCATACACATCACCTCTCAACATTCACCACCACAACCTCTTTTTCAGCAACTTCCAATCACAATCATTCACAATCATGATTTTTCCACATTATCATCGGTCAATACCGATCTTGAAATTTTTCATATCATAATTTCATAGTCAGTCAGAACCAGCTCTCCAATTTTCATAATTTCATATTAGCTGTTTAATAACAGCTCTCCAATTATCGTAATTTCATATTTAGTTGGTTATTACCAACTCCCCAATTATTCATAATTTCATATTTTTCTTTTCCATAATTTCATATTCTTCTCAGTCATTACTGAAGTACTTAGCACCATTGGTCATTACCAGATCTTTTCCATCACCTTATATGCAGCTGCAAATATCAGGTCATTACCGTTAAGAGTATAATACCATTTGCTGTTATTAAATCCCATTTTCAGTCACTGTGCAGCTGTTAAACCCTTAGTCTGCCCCCTTGTTAAGTGAAGAGGGGTTTTTGTCGGGGGCTGGAGAGATGGCTCAGAGGTTAAGAGCACTGACTGCTCTTCCAGAGGTCCTGAGTTCAATACCCAGCAACCACATGGTGGCTCAGAACCATCTGTAATGAGATCTGGTGCCCTCTTCTTGCCTGTAGGCATACATGCAGACAGAACACTGTATACATAATAAATAAATAAATAAAAATATTAAAAAAATAAAAAGAGGGGTTTTTTGTCATTCTTTATTGAGTCTTTCTTTCCCTGAGGGGAAAACTTAGGTCTTAGTTCTTAGGTTTAATATTTTATTCAAAATGAGTTCTGTGTCTCATAAACCGAGAACACTCAAATGTTCAGTTTGTATCTTCATTCTAAAGCAACAGGTTTCACACCACAGCCAGCTGCAGACACTGCAGTCATCTCATCTCAGCAGGATCTCTTTGTCTGAAGTCTCCCTGCAGAGATGTGAGTTGGTGACTGCAGGTCAGGACCAGGCTCCTCTCTGTGGGCTGGGTTACCAGTTCCTCCTGGGGCTTTTCTTATTCCGTTTCTTGGTCGTCAGCTAAGCTGTCCTCAGGTCCGTTGTCCTTCTGCTGAATGCACCGAATCAGTCGCTCTGGAAGCCATCTGGCTTGATTTTCATCCTGTGAGAAAACACAGACATGCCCTCGACCCCATATTAGGATGGGATCGGGTCCTTTCCGTATTCCAGTGCAAGGGTCCTTCCACCTTGCTTTAGCAAATGTGGCTTTTGTACCATTATGCCACAATCTGTCCACAGCTGATCATTCATGGACAACTGTATTTAGAAAGTTCAGCATAAACAATGCATGATTTAAGGCAATGTGTGGCGTCTGAGGATACAACTCCCCTGTCTTTATTTTTTGGAGTTGTGTTTTCAAGGAGCTGTGTGCACACTCCATAATTCCTTGTCCTTGAGGATTATATGGAATACCAGTCTTATGAACAATATTCCATTGAGTACAAAATCTTTGAAAAGCTTTGTTAACATATCCAGACCCATTGTCCATCTTTATTACCTTTGGGGTTCCCATGCATGAAAAGCATTTCAAGCAATTAGTTATTATATGCTTGGCAGCTTCCCCAGTTTGTGTTGTGATCATCATAAATCCTGAATACGTATCAATTGTCACATGCACATATCTCAATTTTTCAAACTCAGTAATGTGAGTTACATCCATCTGCCATATATGGTTAGGAAGCAGTCTTCGGGGATTTACCCCCAAATGAGGCTCAGGTAGATATTGTGGGCATTTTTCACACTGCTTAACAATTTGATGAGCAACTTCTCTGGTCAACTTAAATTGTTTTTTTAAACTTAAGCTGTTTTGATGGTGCAAAGCATGTGACTGCTGTACAAGTTCAACCTGAGATATAGCAATTATTTTTGTAAGTTCGTCAGCTAGAGCATTACCTTCAGCTAATAGACCAGGAAGACTTGAATGTGCTCTTATATGTCCCACAAAACATGGAAACTTTCTACATTGTATGGCTTCCTGAATCTGCTGAAACAATATCTTAATTTGTTCATTGCCAGTTTCTATATATGATAAAGTTTCCTAGATTTGCAACGCCTCATAAATATACCAGCTATCAGTATATAAAAAATCAGCATATTATATAATATATTATATATTTATTATATAATATATTTATATATTATATAAAATATCAGCATATTAAAAGCCTTAATAGCAAAATTCTTAAATATCAGAGCTACTGCCCGCAGCTCAGCTATTTGAGCTGAAGCTGGTTCTGTCTTAACCACATGTCCTTCGCCATTGACTACATATGCAGCTTTTCCACTAGATGAGCCATTAGCGAAAATCAACAAAGCATCCTTTAAGCGATTCTTTGCTACTATTTTAGGAAAAATGAATGAATGCTGTTGCATAAACTGTAGTAACTGGTCATCTGGGGAAAGATTATTAATCTGACTTTGAAACTGAGCAAATACAATTGCCCATGAATCACTATTTTGAAATAACCATTCAATTTGCTGCTTAGTGTAAGGAACATTGGTTACAGCTGGTTCTTTGCCAAAATATTTCCTAGATTCCATTCTGCTCTTCTGTGCTAGACATGCTACTGCTTCAAAATAAGGATTTAATACTTTTACTGGTGATACAGGCAGATGCAGCCACAGCAGTGGTCCGTTCTGCCATAAGACTGTTGTAGGAGCCAGTCTTGTAGGTAAAATACATGCCTGACTCGTTTGGCTGTAATCGATATAGCACACCTGCTGTTCCTGTATAGCCTGCTCTATCTGTGAGAGAGTCTGTCTGGCAGCTTCTGAAAGCTGCCTGCTCGAATTTGGATCACTGTTTCCTTTAAATATTTCATTTAGAGGCTCGAGGTCTCCTATAGGAAACCTTAAATAAGGCCTTAGCCATTGCATAGTTCCTAACAACCTTTGAAAGTCATTAAGAGTTTTTAAGTCATCCTTCCTAATTTCTATCTTCTGAGGCTTAATTTCTTCGGGGTATAACATATGAGCTAGATATTGAAAAGGTGGGTGCCTCTGTACTTTCTCAGGAGCAATAATTAACCCTGCATGGCTTAGGCTCTGTTGTAACAATCCATATGTCTCTAGTAAAGTATCCTCATCTCTATGAGCCAGCAGAATGTCATCCATGTAATGAATAACATAGACCTGTGGAAATTGATTTCTAGCTTTTTGTATAGCTTGAGCTGCGAATTTCTGGCATAAAGTAGCACTATTTAACATGCCCTGGGGTAAAACATTCCACTGTTATCTCCTCATTGGCTCTCTGAAATTAACTGAAGGAATACTAAAAGTAAATCTTTGACAATCTTGTGGCACTAAAGGAATTGTATAAAAACAATCTTTCAAGTCTAAGATAATTTTATTTGTGCCTTTTGGTATGGCTACTGGAGACAGCAGCCCTGGTTGTAATGCTCCCATTGGCTGCATGGTTGCATTGACCTCTCTTAAATCCTGAATTAATCTCCACTTTACTGATTTCTTTTTAATAACAAAAATTGGAGTGTTCCATGGAGAATTAGATGGTGAAATGTGTCCACTATCCAGCTGTTCCTGCACTAACTGCTAGGCGGCTTGTAATTTTTCTTGTGTTAGAGGCCACTGACTCACCCATACAGGCTCATCACTTTTCCATATTATCGGGTCTGCATGGAGTGCAGGTCTTTCAGCAACTTCTCCTAAAAATATCCTAATCCTGCTCTAGGAGGTCTACTGTCTGGTACGACAGGATCAACCTTTCCCTTATTATCCTTGCTTAGACCTTGATTAGGTAATAATCCTTGTTGAAACATCTGATTAGTAACAGCTGTGCTGGGAGAATATAAATATACTCCCATTCTGGACATAATATCTCTGACCCATAAGTTCACAGGTAAATGAGGAATAACATATGGCTTAACAGTTCCTTCATGGCCTTCCTCATCTTTCCAATGCAGTTCATTACGACTCTGTTCAGGACTTCTAGTCTCACCAATTCCTTGTAACTGTGCAATAGTCTCCGTTTTGGGCCACTTAGAAGGCCACTGGCTGGCGGTTATGACTGAAATATCGGTGCCAGTGTCCAGGAGGCCAGAAAATCTTTTTCCATTTATAACCAAAGTGAGTTCTGGTCTCAGAGGACCTATTGTCTGTAGCCAAAATGCATCAGACGAACCAAATCCGTCTTCTCCTCTTTTTTCTTTTTAAGACCTCCACATAAAACTTATACTTTACCTCATAGAAGAAAAATTTAGAATTAACACTTGAATGCACTGGTACAACTCTAATACAGCCTCAATGGCATACACATTGAGAGAGACAATTAATAAGATCTCTTGAACTGAGAAGCTTCTGTATAGCAAAGGACATCTTCAACAAGACATAATATCTGGCTATAGAATTGGAAAATCCTTACTAATCACTAATCCACTTCAAAAACAGACAAAGAATGCAGAAAATTAATCCCCAAAAGAACAATTAATCCAATAAGAATATATGTTACGACCTAAACTGAAAACTCTCAATAGATGAACTTAAAATGACTGAAAGACATTCAAAAAGTACTCAAATATAACATCCTTAACCTTTGGAAAAATGTAAATCAAAACAACTCTGAGACTCCATCTTATCCCTGCAAAAATGACCAAGATCAAAAATACTGTTCACAACCCATGCTTAAGAGACACTCCTCCACTGCTGGTGGAAATGCAAACTGGCAGAGCTGCTTTGGATCCTAGTATGGTGAAATCTCAAAAAATTAGGTAACAAACTACTTTAAAATTCAGCTATACCTCTTTTGGGCCTATATACAAAAGATGCTCAACCATACCACAAGGACACGTGCTCAACTATGTTCACAGCAGAATTACTTTATCATACACAGAATCTGAAAACAACCCAAATGTATCTCTTCTCCACACCTGACAAATGAGATAACCACAAATGCCATAAAATATCTTTGAGTAATTCTAATCACACAAATTGAAAAACCTGTATAACAAGAACTTTAAATCTTTGAAGAAAGAAATTTAAGCCATCAGAAAATGGAAAGATCTCCTATTCTCTTGTAAAGACAGCACCAACATAGCAAAATCGACAATCTTACTGAAAGCAATCTACAGATTTAATGCAAACGCCCATTAAACTTATAACAAAATTCTTCAAACTTCAAAAAACCAATCCACAACCTAACGAGAAAAGACAAAATTCAGGATAGCCTAGGCAAACTTAAAATCCTGTACAATCAAGGAACTTCTGAATGCATTACAATCTCTGACTTTAAACGTTACTACAGAGCCACAGTACTGAAATCAATCCACCTTGGATACAAATTCACCTGCCTACAAACAGCAGACTTTTGACAAAGAAGCAAAATTATGAAATGGAAAAGAAACATTTTAACCTGCTTATCTCAGAGGCTACCTTAATTTAAACCTGTCTTTTTTCTTTCAGTTGAAGCTGTACTGCACGGCAGGGGGTCGGACACAGGCTCACTTTGCTAGACTGCCATCCCGAGCTCTGGCGAGCGGATTTTTAACTATCCTTTTTATTTTAACTTGTAAATCATAAAATTAGTAGAATTTCTGAGTCCTCTCCTCTGTTCTGTAGACTGTGTGAGGTTAAATTTGCTCTCTACACTTATCCTTGCTCCTGCTTGCCTTTTACCCGCTGGTGAGTTGGATTAGCTGGCTACTGTGAGCACGTGGCTACTCAATCTCAGCGGTAACTTGGTGATTCTTGGGCAAAGTTATTTTTCCTCCACCTTTCCTACCTATTAGCAATCAATAAAAGTTGCAATTCTATGTCTATCACACTTACAGATTCTCAATAACTCTGCCATTGCTTCTGCTCTACTCTCACTCCCTTTAGTTACCAACATAAATAACTGAATACACTTTCCTTATCCCATATTTCTATATTTTCAAGTTTTACTCCCTGTATTACTGTCCCGTTTGGTTATCTAAGTGCACATTACTCACATCCACTGATTTTTTCTCGCGGGTTCCTCACATCTGGTCACTTCTTCTTTGCTTTTTGGGGTGTGCGGATCAGCCTCACGTTCTCCTCTGTCCTTTGTCTGGTTTTCCTCGGGGGTTCAGCGATCAGCATTCACGAACGTCCTGTCCCTTCTCCGGCACATAAATTGGGGGGGGGGATACATCAGCATTCTGTTACCTAGACAACCAGGTGAATGGCCTTTTGTCACGTTGGCATCTACCTGTCTGCTGAGTATGCTAGCTGTCAGGTAGGCTTGAATTAGCATCTCTATAAGGTATCCTCCAAATTACAAAGGAGTAAGAAACTTCCTGACTTTTGTTAGGCAGAGACAGCTTGTCTGCTGAGCCACGTGACCTCGAGTGGGCCTCTATGGCTTCAGTGCCTGGCAGCCACCATATAAAAATATAGGCCTACACTCCAGGGTGGGTTGACACTATGCCTCGGATCGAGGGGGAGCTGAACCCAGCGGAAAACACTCCAAGATCTGTCTCCATGCCCCAGACTTGCTGACAGGGTCACGATCGAGGGGACCTACCCGGCAAAGAACCCAAAACTTTGGGCAGAAGTTCCGCTCCAATTTCCCGACTCACACTCGCCTCTGCACCGCTTGCCCGCGCACACAAGAAGCCGCAGAAACAGCGGCCTTAAAACAGCCAGGCTTGGCCTCAGCTCTCCCAAGCCGCTCTGGGGGCTTTCGAGGAAATCGAGCCCGGGTCCGCGCACTGTCAGCCCTGCGGCGCTGCGGAAGCTTAGTAACCACACCAGGTATTTTCAGCTGCCACCCTGTCTGTTATCAGAATGGAATCAACACCACCCACAGCCACCACGCGCTCTCTTCCTGATCCCATAGTAACACTGCCACCATAAACGATCAATTAGAGACCCTGGTGTATTGCAAGATACACATGCATACACACACACATATACATACATACATACATACGTATATACATGCCTAGTCTCATACACATACATACAGAGGACAGACATACAGACAGACAGGCAGACAAATAGACATATTCTTCACACACACACACTAACACACACACACACCCCGTAGACTGGAAAGAATCACTGCATTTGTTTGAAGTCAGCGCTCAGTTGTGAAGAGCAGGGGAAAGGTCCCAGGGAGCGTGTGATGCAGGTGTGGCAGGTGGGACGAGCTAGACGGTTTCTTGGAGACCTAAGAGCAGGCGATAGAGTGAGGTGGAGACTCTGTGGGCTCCATGAGTGGGTCGGAAGCTTGCGCGGGAGCTCTGCGTGATGTGTGTGTGTCGTCGGTGTGATAGTGGCAGTGTGTAGGCTGGGTGTTCGGGCCGTAGCAGGGCTTAGCTGGACAAGCGCTGAGGAGTTGGTGTGCGCAGGAAAAGACGGTGAGCATGAGTGGGAAGGTAGGAACAGGGTGGTGAGTGTGCGGGCAGGGAGCGCCGGTGAGGCTGTAGGCCTTTGGGTTGCGAGGGAGGGTGTATGAGTGGAGAGGAGCAGCAGGGTCCTGCGGCGAAGCTGTTGGGCAAATGAAAGAAAGGTGATGTGAGGTAGTGGGCCCCCATTGCAGGACAGGACAGGTGTCAAGAAGGGGGAGAGGTGTCAGGAGGCAAAGTTGCAGAGAGGAAGAATTCCCTGAACGGGAATCGAACCCAGGCCGCGGCGGGCGATACGCCGAATCCTAACCACTAGAACACCAGGGAGCGACAGTCAGACACTGACGATGCCCGCTTCACGCCGGCGCCATTGAGGCCGCTGGACAGCCAGAATCTTAGTCAGTCTGCCAAGCTGACTGCCTGCCGCTCACCCCAGCCGCCTGCCCAGTAATACACGGCTGGCATTTGGGGTTCATGCGATTGATCGGCGCCTGCCCGTGCCCCCTGGCCCTGGCCGTCCCCTCTCTGCCCTGCTAGATGCCCGGTGACCTCTGTCGCTTCTCGGGCAAGCCGAGAGCCAATTCCCGGTAAGACGCCTCTCCGTGGCCCTTCTTCTCCGACTCGCCACCCTCTCAAAATGTCTAGAGCCTACGCCCACACGATGGTGGGTCGTTCGACCGGCTGCGCACAGAATCTTGGCAAAAGTGGAATGCTGTGCGTTGGCCGGGAGTCGAACCCGGGTCAACTGCTTGGAAGGCAGCTATGCTCACCACTATACCACCAACGCCGCACGGCCACAGCGCCACACACACACAAGATGCCAGGGACTTCCACCAGCCAGCGGACAGCGATGTCGCCATCGCCTACCAGGTCTTCCCACTACTGCCCTAACCTCAAAGTCAAAGCCGAAGCCGACACCGACGAAGACACCAATACCGACACCGACACCCTCGCCAACCACAATCGGGCCTCCGCCGCCGACCACGAGTTGTTTCTCACCGTCCCATGCCACCCGCATTTCTCGCACGCACACGCTTGGGCTGCGCGGCGCTCTCGCCTCCTGACGGCAGCAACCCGCTCCTCTGGGTAGCTCACGCAACGACGGCCACAGGAACCAGAGAGCAGCCAGGACAACACCGAACGGCCAGGACATCACCACCCAGAGTCGACTGGCACAGCGGTGGCTCAGGCACCGAGGGTCGCACGCCGCCAGCAACCTCGTGAGGGGAGGGGCGCGTTACGAGGCGTCGGAGCCCTGGACCAGGCCAGGGACCAGATGGATGGGAGACTTGTGGGCCTGCCTGGCAGTGGGCGGCCAGAGCCCGGATCTTGAGCCAGAGGACCACTGTCCTAGCATTGGTGCGAGGGTCCAAGCAAGGATGGCCAGTGAGCCCAGGACTGCCCCTCTGGCTAAAAAGGATGGCAGGTCTCCCCGTCGGGGAATCGAACCCCGGTCTCCCGCGTGACAGGCGGGGACAGTCACCACTATACTAACCAGAAGTACGAAGTCGTCAACGTCACGAAGACGATCGGCAATCTCCGTCGCACTTCGCAGACAGACCCGTTACCCTCCCTCAGAAGTACCGCCGACCTTCGCACAGAACCCCAAGGTCTCCCCGACGCGGCCAGAACGCCCCTCTCATCATGACGCGGACCCGGAGCCCTTTGCGACCACCGTGTCCCAGCCCCCTGGTCCCGCCCATCCCAGCGACGCTGGTACCGTTCCTTGGCTGCCCCGCGTAAGCTGTGGTGGTGCGGGGAGCCAGACCGGGTACGGGACCGGGACCGAGACCCGGACACGGAGCGACTTTGGCGCCTAGCAGCATCTCAACGTCGACGCGGTGGACGCCGCCCCCGCCCGAAGCTTGGGCACCCAGACACGCACGACTCCGGGCGCCCCGACGCGCCAGATTCGCCGGTCGCCCCCACCCGCCGTCAGGATGGCCGAGCCCTCTAAGGCGCTGCGTTCAGGTCGCAGTCTCCCCTGGAGACGTGGGTTCTGATCCCACTCCTGACAAACTTGTCTTTTTGCCACCCGCTCCCACCCCACCAGACCCGTGCGTGTCTCACTCTACCGCCTCTCCGACGCCGCCCACACGCCCCTCACGCCCGCAACCTTCCCTCACACGCCCGGGCCTGGAAGAGCGCCCTGCTCTCGACACCCGACAGTTACGGGAGGGCAGCGGCTGCGGCGCGTGCTGGACGCCTTGCTAAAGGCACCTCCGGGGAGGGGAGAAGCTCGAGTCCGTGAGGGGCCGGTCGTGAGCGGCCGGCCAGCCCGGTGCCAACAGAGGACCTCCTCCACCCCAACCCGACACCTGCATTTCTTGACCCGGCCCTCGCGCTCACCACCGCTTTCCTCCTCGTTCCTGAACCTCCAGCTCCTGCGGGAGACGCCCCCCGCGCCCACCCTCTCGGGCTGTGCTCGTCCAGGCTTCTTTTGTGCGCAGCTGCCCGTCGCCAGCGCACACCTGCTGATCCTTGGTGCGCGCACAGCCACCCGGATGCACGCCCATCCGCGGTCCGTAAGCTCCCTGGCTCGCTAGCTGGCTGCACGTAGGGAGAGGCAGGGTTGACGTGGGACCCAGGCGTCCCGGAGAGGGGAATCAGCCGCGGAGCCTCAGTCTGGTCCCGGGACTCTCCTGTCCGTGGCCCTCGCGCTCGCCTGCTTGGTCCATGGGGCCCAGGTCCGGGATCTAGGTGTCAGGGGGAAAGAGGAGCTCGCTGATCCGGGAGCACAGGCTGTGACAGCGGTCCAGGGACAGCTTAGACCATGGCATGGGTGGTTCAGTGGTAGAATTCTCGCCTGCCACGTGGGAGGCCCGGGTTCGATTCCCGGCCCATGCAGAGTCCGCTTCATTTTGATCCTCATGCACGCAATGCCCCAGTCCCCAATGCCCAGGGCGCACAGTACATCTCCTGCCCAGCTCCAATCCAGCGCCTGCCCATCAGCCTAGTCCTCTCTCCTCAACTCAGACGCCATCACACACCCTAACCGTCTACTCCATTTTTTCAAAGCACCTGACATACTCACCCTCCCATGTGCACACAGTCGCAGCCGCCATCCAGCGCTTCCACATTTCTTATAACTCGACTCCACCTCACTCACACCCCACACCTCCAATCTCCCACTCCACAGTGCCATCCACGTACAGCCTGGCTCTCCCACAATGGACACTTACTTGGTGAACCTCTCTTGGCCGGGACCTCAAACATCTCCCGAGTCCTGGACCCTCTTCTGTCTCCTTTGCCAAGGGACAGTATTGCAGGGGACCAGGTGCCTTCTTTCCCCTAATTCTTTGCCAACAGCAACTCTTGCAGAGCCCAGAGAGCTTCAGAGCTCCGGGGAGATGGCTGCCGGCAGGAGGCCTCTCTCTATCTCTCTCTCATCTCTCACACCCATACAAAAACAACCACACCCACCAGAAAAACACGCGCGCGCGCACACACACACATACACACACACACACACACACACACACTCAGGGAAGCCTATCCCGCTCAGGCCAGAGAGGCACACACAAGCGGAGCTCCATCGAAGTTAATCCTGTGCCAAGATGGGCATTCCCACACTGACCCCTGGCCTTCTGAGACCTCGACTCGTGCAGGCTGCTCATTGGCAAGTGTAGGGAGCTTCCCTATCCGGTCGCGACTGAACGGCAAGGCTCAAAGCCTGCTCCAGCGAGCTCAGGGTGTCCACAGACTCTGTGTTGCGCACCTTCTCCAGCATCCCAAGCCTTGGACCATGTGTCCCTTTCTGCGGTCTTAATCCTCTTCGTGCTCGACTGCGGTGGGTACCACGAAGGAAAACGTTCAGTCACCTGTCACCGGACGCAACCACTGCCCACCGGCAGAGAAAAGGCCTGCTAGGTGTCAGTCCTTGACCAGCCTGAACAAAGGCGAGCAGGAGTGGTCGTGACCATTGCAGCTTCTTTTCTTTTTTCTAAAGAGAACCCAGGAACAGAACTAAGTGGGGCTCTTCAGTTGACTCTGGTAGGCAGTTCCAGATCAAACAAGGAAGCCGACTAAGAGCAAGAGAGACCCAATGATGGTGTTGGAGATTGAATTTTTTAACCCTGGCTGCTGCTGCTGCTGCTGCTGCTGCTGGTGGTGCTGCTGATGGTGGTGGTTGTGGTGCTGGTGGTGGTGATTGTGGTGCTGGTGGTGGTGAGATATGGAGGCCTTGGGATGGAAGTGGATCGGAGCAGACAACGAGACAAAACGACAGCCTACAGAATCGGAAAAGATCTTCACCAATCCCGCATCAGACAGAGGTCTGATCTCCAAAATATACAAAGGACTCAAGAAATTGGACACCAAAATAACACATAATCTAATAGGAGTAAAGACCTAAACAGAGAACTCTCAACAGAGGAATCTAAAATGGCTAAAAGACACTTAAGGAAATGTTCAACATCCTTAGCCATCAGAGAAATGCAAATCAAAACACCTCTGAGATTCCACCTTACACCTGAAAGAATGGCTAAGATCAAAAACACTGATGGCAACTTATGCTAGAGGGTTTGTGAGGAAAAGAGAACACTTCTGAATTGCTAGTGGGAATACAAGCTGGTACAGCCCCTTTGGATGTCGGTGTAGTGATTTCTCAAAAATTAGGAAACAACCATCCACAAGACTCAGTAATACCACTTTTGGGTATATGTCCAAAGGATGCTCAATCGTGCTACAAGGACATGTGCTCAACTATGTTCATAGCAGCTCTGTTTGTCATAGCCAGAACCTGGACACAACCTAAATGCCCCTCGACCGAAGAAAGGGAAAGGAAAATGTGATACATTTACACAATGAAGTACTACACAGCAGAAAAACAAACAAACAAACAAAAACCCGACAGCTTGAATTCTCCAGAAAAATGGATGGAGCTAGAAAACGTTATTTTTAGTGAGGCAACCCAGACACAGAAAGACAATTATCACATGTACTCACTCATAGGTGGTTTTTAAACATAAAGCAGAGAAAACCAGCCTACAAACCACAATCCCAGAGAATTTAGACAATATGAGGACACTAAGAGAGACTTATATAGATCTAATCTATATGGGAAGTAGAACGTAGAAAATGACAAGATCTCCTGAGTAAATGGGAGCATGGGGACCTTGGGGAAGGGTTGAAGGGGGAAAGGAGAGGCAGGGAGGAGAGTAGAGAAAAATGTAGAGCTCACTGAATATCAATTTCAAAAAAGGAAAAAAAATCAATCATCATCTTGTGGAGGCATCTCCTGAACTGAGATTCTCTCTTCCCAGATGAGTGCAGGGTTTTTTCAAGTTCTCCAAAAACAAGCAGCACAGTTGACCCTGTGCCAACGTGGCACACAAGCCGGTCGTTTACTGAACCATAACCATTCCTTTCTTGTTCATCCCCAGGAGCTCATTTCAACCCCGAAGGCACGGGATCGGCTCCATCTCAGCAATACCCCACTCCTGGTACCGATTTCAGTCTGAG